GTGAAAGGAAGATTGGGTTGCTAATATTTTGAACTCTAATCTGCAGAATATTTGCTTATGCTGTTGATCTTGGTGAGCTATTTGAAAGTTAGATGGGAAAAATAAGGATAAAACCCTCTTCAAGGGTGTAGGTTTAATGATTTTCCATATCAGTGTCAGGGTGGTGTGTTGCAAGGTGGGTATGTGCATGGCTGATGATAGGGTTTTTTTTGTACTGTAGCAAGTCTGTATATGTAATTCACATGATACTTACTTCCACAGTGATTGTTGGGTGAAAGTTGCCAATGAGGTATATATATGTTCCTTACAGAGGAGATGAGAGACACTGTTTTTGCTGTGTTTTGGATGGTGGCTGGTGGTGTAGAAGCGAGGTGTCTTAGGTCAATGGCATTCTTGCATTTAGTCATTTAAGGGTATGGCCGTTAAGGTATCCAAGAAGTTGATGTTGATCCAGTTTCAAGAAAGGTGACTACAGACCTTGCAGTGGAAGCTGATGGCAGCGCCCTAGCTTTTGCTGCAGATACAGCTTCAGTACAGTATTGATGCAATTAGCTAAACAAAACATTTAACTCGTGGTAACTTGTGCAGGCGTGTCACACGTGTGTGTGTGTGTTTGTGCCCATTCTTTCAATTAACGGTTGTCTGCTCAGAATGACTTTTCTGGATGAAAAGATACATATACTGGCCCAGACCTTGTAGAAACTTGCCGTTGGACTGGGATGCCGTTCTGGGTTGAGATGGTAGGCAAGGCTAATGCTTTAAAACAAACCTTTTCCACTACCTGTGTCTGTACCAGGCATTGGAATGCTGGTGTTAACATTGACATAGTGAGTTTATTTCCAATAAAGGGGACTAATGTACTTGGAGATGCTGCATATTATAGCGAAACAAACATGGCTCAAGTATTGAAATAGATCATGTTAATAAACAACATACAGGCACCTAATTTGTCTGTAATGCTTGCATTCATTTCTGCCTTTTAAACTAAAGCAAATACATAAATGTAATGTTTAGGACACCTATAGGATATGTCACGTTGGTTTATATTTTTTTCTGTTTATTTCTACTCGTACCACTAGAAAGATTACATTAAGAACAGTTCTCAGCTGCTTAATATTACTGAAAGAATGCATATATTAATACATTTGGAGTCAACAAAGGCATCTTCTAACAGACTTGTTATGTGCAAGTGACATGTTTTCGTGAATTTTATTGCTGTCTTGTTATATGGAGGAAGAATGGCAGTATTTCTTCTTGCACCCCCAAGTATCTGATGCTACTTTAATGATAGAAAGCACATTTTTTTCCACTAGCGAAACAGTTCAGTGTACTTAAAATATAAAGGTCAATTAAAAGCACCCACTATCTAGCCAGACATTTTGAAAAAATACTGCTTATAAACCAAAATACATTTAATAGATACGTAATATACATGTACATAAATGAAAATTACGAAAATCAAATTTTATTCAGATGTTTCCTATGCATCTCACATATGTTAAGGAAATATTTTGTAACAGAATAACATTCCAATGTATTTGCAAATCTCTTTAATTTTGCATAATGTTATGTCATGAAGAAAATAAGTCACTTTTGGGGGAAAGGTTTTTGCTTCATTGATTTGGGGGTTTTTTGTCATACAGGATTCTCCGGTATATTTGAAAATGTGTGCCAGTTGATAAAAAGGTTTTATATTTCAGTGTTATGTGCTCCAAGTTTTCTAAAATGAAAAAAAGCCCCCAAACCAAAAAAACATACCAGTCACTGAGGAAATAAAATTTGGAGATAAAGAATATAAATGTATATTAGAATGGGCCGGACTTTTTGCCAGTGTCTAAAAAAGTGTCACTAAATACCATACTAGTTCAAAGAGGTCATAATACACATGAAACAAAGTGGAACACCACTTCTCATCAAGAAAATTAGATTTCTTTGTCACCTGGCAAAACTGCTGAACGACTGGCTGGTCAAAATATCCCTCTGCACCTTTTGACTTAATGTCTCATGTCAATCACTCTTTCAGTAATTGTTGGCATATAATTTCTTGTTGAGTGTCTTAACCCTTGTTCTCTTTCTTGACAGATTAGTGATTTTTTCCCACTGCATCAGACCTAAAGATTTCTATGCATTTTTACTGATACAGACTACATTCATTTTGTGAATGTCTATAAATTTTCTGGAACGCTGTTCATTCCCCAAATAACTAAAATAAGTTAAATGAATGAACCTCCCTTAAAAATAAACTGACATTTTCTTCTTCAGCAATAACTCAAGCTGTGACAGTTTCTTGTAAGAGCTCCTTGCATAGCATTTACCCAGCAGAAAGCAAAAATACTCTTTGGGTGTAGATATTCACCTCCTTTTATGGTAGTTGAAACTTTTTTTTGGGAAAAAAAAAGGCAGTTCTGTACATTGTCCAAAAATGTTTGATTATCTCATCCCATTATCACAGAATCATAGAATAGTTTGGGTTGGAAGGGACCTTTGAAGGTCATCGAGTCCAACCCCCTTGCCATGGGCAGGGACACCTTCAACTAGATCAGGTTGCTCAGAGCCCCGTCCAACCTGACCTGGAATGTTTCCAGGGATGGGGCATCTACCCCCTCTCTGGGAAACATGTGCCAGGGTTTCACCACACTCACTGTAAAAAATTTCTTCCTTACATCTAGTCAAAATCTGCCCTCTTTCAGTTTAAAACCATTACCCCATGTCCTATCGCAACAGGCCCTGCTAAACAGTCTGTCCTCAGTCTCTTCCATTATATTAGTCTCTTCCATTATTTGTTTGATTTGGAAGTATTGTCAGGAGGAAATTTATTTTTCTTCAGTCATTTTAAAATGCACACATCTAATTTCTTCTCTTTCTGTAACATCTCTTACAGAGACACTGGAAAGCAAAATTACCCCTTCTCCCTAAAAACTTCAGTGTATTTTGGTTTAGTGTTTCTCTTTATTTCTGGTCTCTAGTATCATGTTATATCCTTATGCTTCATGAAGGTTCACTAACTAAAAATTCCTGGATGTTCAGTAGTTCAAATAAGAAAGACTTTTATAGGCAAAGGTGGCTTTCTTTTTTGATTTTGTAGTAGAGAGAAGTAGAGTAAGAAGCATCATGCAGACACTGAAATAATATTAATTCTGGTCATAGCTTAGAGAATATTTATTCTTTCTTAGGTCCAAAGTTTGTTTGCCTGACTCATGCCCTCGTAGTGTAATGCCATGAAAATTACTGTGTTGACACTGTTGGGACCGTTTTCAATAAATTGTAATATATGCATGACTTTTAATTGTGGTCATGCGACAAAATTAAGAGCATTAGAGGTGAGGTCAATAAAAACAGCTGTATCTGTTGTCCTGCAGATGGGTAGGCCAGATTCAGGAAAGCTACCGTGCTAGGTATGTGCTTGCTCAGCATCTACCCGTGAGACAAAAGGCAAACCAGGAGACATTTTCTAAATCTTTTTAACAGTTTGTTTGCTGGACTCGTTGGCTTTCATATATCTTAAAATAATTACAATACTTAAAAATCATTAGCAAAACTATGTAGAATTCACAAACAGTTTTAGCTAAAATAGAGAGGAATTAGACAATACAAAACAATCTCAGATTTAATAAATTATTCATTCCAATATGTTTCACTTAAAAATAAGTGTGCATTTTTGAAATTAACAAATAGGTAATACCAAAATGAAGCATTTCATCCTGAGTCAAACAAAATATGCATTGGAATCTAACTTTGGCTGATACCTGATTGGTAGTGAAAATTAACTTAATTCTCCCAGCGGATTCACCACTTACAAAGCAGCTTGGAAAGCATCTGAATATAGTTTTTGTAAATCAAAACAGTTCATATATTGAACAGCTGCATTTCTTAAAAAATCTAGTAGTGTGTATTACCAGATGGAAGTGACTAGGAAATGTGTAATGAGCAAGTTTGCAAACAAAAGAGATGTGATAATGTTGACTGAATTCTCTTGTCGATTATATCAAAGTAGCTTTCCTAAAACAATAGATTTTTCCACATTTACACTAGTTCAGCTAAGATCAAAATTTAGCCTCAGTTCTGAAGGGGGAATACCTTTTTCTGAAGAAAAATTATGAATTTTCCCACTTTTGAAAATAAGATAAATGGTTATTTCTGTCTGATACTAAGTGTTTATTGCTTGTAGTTCTCTGTCAGCACTATTACGGAGATGTTAATCACTGTTTACAGAAATCTTTTCTTTTTCTTTTCTGTACAGATGATGACACGTTTTCCAACATGTTTTGTGAAAACTCTAAGAAGCTTATCAATGTACACTTGTTTGCCCTGGCTGCTAAGTATTATTCTTTGTCCAGCCTTGGAGTGTGTACCCCATTAGAAGACATACTTGAATCACTGAGAGGTGACAGTCAAGGAGCAACAGGTATATTTACATTTGTGTTTAAATTTTTACTTATTCACTAGAGGACCTGCAGAGTTTTGGTTTTGGAGGGTGGTTCGTTGGCGTTTTTTCCTACATGCTTCTCATTTCAGTTTTCATTTGCTCGTAGATAGTTTCTTCATTGCCTTTGTTTAGAAAATGAATTCTCTTGCTAAAATTTGAGCAGAGGGGTTACAGCATTCAGTACCTGTAGACCCTTCCTGGGATTCAGTTTTAAAGGGGATGAGATAGACAAGCACGCACATCATTATTTGAGATATCTTGTTAGTTCCCTTTGTTTTTCTTCTCCCTAAGTGGCAGGAATCATGGTCACTATTCCTGCTTTTTTTTAAACATCTTACGCTAAAATCTGGCAAGTGGGTTTTCTTGTTACGTCTTTTGTTTAATATTAAATATGTGCTTGGGTGTTTAGCTGAATACTGCCCAGTAAGTGTTTGATGTCTCAGAAAAAAAAGATTTTATTCATTCTGTATGTTTTGGACCAACACCAATTATATGTCATAAAACTAGCGTAATTTCATTTTCTGTAATTCAAGAAATTGAATTAAAACATTCTCAAGTTGGCATGAAGTTGGACACTGGAAGTCTTACCCCGATTATATTTTTTGTATCAGATGATAAAACGGCATTTGTACCTACTTGGACTGCTGTCATTTTAACTGCTGAAGATGTGTTCTTTGTGGAGTCCACAGTCTTTATAGATTTGTCACTGTCTTTCAGATTTCTGATGAGTTTTTCAGAGACAGACTGAGCAGCTCTCTGCCTTTGCCTTCTAGTGTGTTTTTTCTCTATGTTAAAACTCTGATGTTTCTTATCCTAAGTGATAGCACCATTATATATATGTTGGGCATCTCTCCCATTTTCTACAGCAATCTTCTCTTTCCAATTTTGCCATTTTCCACGATTGGCTCCCCAAGTTTTTCATTTCTTCAGAAATACTAGAATGCCATAGCTAAGATAGTCTTAATGGTTTGTTGTTCATTGGTCTTACTTCCTGGCTTCTTTTCCTTCTGCTCTTTGTTCATCTGAAGCCCTTTTTTCTTGTTTGGCAACTGTATGCTGCTTTTCTTCCACTTGCTTTTCAACTCTTTTTATTTTTATTATGCTCTCATTCCCTGTGTTCTGCTTAATTTTCTGTAATTCTCTAGTTCTACCTTGTTATCCTTGTACTTGAGTTCATACCTGGATTAGCTTTCTTAGACAAAATTACAAAGGTTCTTTCATCTTCCTGTCACGCAGAGTAGAGCGTCAGGAATAAGGCAATTGCTGAATATTTTGTTCTGTGTCTTGCAGGAGTGCTGCTCGGTTGGGTAACTGGGGTCTGGGTTTGTGATGCAGTAATTCTAAATTGTACTTCATAGAAAAAATAAAACGTGTTCCAAATGTATACAATGGTATAATTCAAGACCTTTGTGTTGAACTGGCAGTAAGTATCAGTTAAGTTAATTGAAGTTCCTGGTAGTCATTTGGCAGAAGCAAAATACCAAATTATGGATTCATAATGTGCAAGTTGCCAAATGAAAGTTGTGATCTTTTAGCTTTAAACTATTTTAGATATTTTGGACTTTATTCTGTATTTCAGAAAAGATATTCATTTCCTGACACACTAAAGCTTGCAAGAGAAGTGTAAGTCTGAGAAAATTGGCAACTTTACGATGGCCTTGCTCATATTCTGAAAAGCATGCATCATGATAATTCCATTTATGTTTCAGATGTTTTTAATACATTTTCTTGTTCTCAAACAGGCTTACGAGCCTATTCCCACAGTTTGTATACTTGCATAGTTCTGTAACTTCTTCACCATCTTAATGTAGACATATTGCTATCCTTCCCTGGAATAATAGGTAGGCACAAACATTTTAAGCTTATTGTGGACACAGCTACTCAGAACGAAGTTCTGAGGCTAAAGGGCTTTCTCCATTGCTCCCTAACGAAGGTCACTGTGGTCCTTACTGCGCCGTCAGGTTGCTTGCACTGAGCGCGTGGGGTCCAGAAGAGCCTAGCCCAAGGGGAGGAAGTTGTCAGGGAGAATTTCTCTTGTTACAGGTTCGTATCTGATATAAGAAGTGAGGGTTGCTAGAGTACTGGATTAAGAGTATTCTCTACCTTTGCAATGTGTTTATGGCCAAGGTAGTAGTCATGCAGGGACAGTTAACGAATCCGTCTTTAAATTCCATGTACTGGAATATCACTCTATCTCTGGGATTTTTTTAGTATATGGTTATCCCAGTCCCTCACTGTGACTTGTGGAATTAAATCATAGTATTAATTCTGTGTAGGTGTTGGTGTCTGGTGTGGACTGTGAATTTCTTTTTTTTTTATCTGGGATATCTGAATTTTCACAGGTAACTGGGGTATAAAACCCCTGCACCCTGCCATAGGAGATCTTGGGAAGATCTCCATTAGCCCTGTATAGAGATAGTCTCTCCTCAATTTGTTGAGCTTCACAACTAAAGATGAGCTGTAAATGACATTATAGATTCAAAGCAGTTTTTCAAATGCAAACCAGCTACCTGTGCAAGGGGTTCACAATGGAATAAGCAACATTTCCACACCAGCTAAAACTAGTAACATTAAGCTTTCTCTTACTCTATTATATCCAGGGTACTTCTGTGAAGTATTCAAACCACACTTTCTTTTTTCACAGAAGGAGATGGATATCTAAATTTATTATGGTTTTTGAAATTAGTACTTGTTCTGCTTGCATCAGTTGTACACATAATAAGGAAATCTACATGTATAATTCTTTGTTTCAAGAATATGATTTTGTCATAACAGAATGAATTTATAGTTTGTTTAAAACTAGTATACATAGTTTTTTCAAATTTGCAGTTGTCTTGGCAACTGTATATATAAATATAATACAGTTTTTCTATTAGATTGTAATATATCTGCTTGTTTTTCAAAATAATTTTAAAAAACCCTCAGAATTTTGCAGAAAATGTAGCAACAATAAAATGTATTAAAAATGCATAGTTTTCTGCAACTATATTGTTTTCCCTGAGCTGAGATATAAGCAGAGTGTTCATTCTGCAAAAAGTAGGAAAAGAAGTCTGAAAATGGTTAAGAAACTTCAGTAGCTAAGGTGATAAATACTTCATCTATTGTAGGTGTAACCAAACTGTGATTTTCCTATCTGGAACATCAGCTTTTGTGAGTTGTGTCTTATTTTTGGTTTTCTGTATTTCTTCCATGTTTCAAATACTTAATTTGGCTTAAGTACTCTCTGAAATAAATGGTAGTTCACACAGCATTGCGCAATTAACTCTTTTAAGTTCATACGATAGCGAAGAGTAAAAGGTGCAATATGTGGTGATAGTTCAAAGTGACAGCGCTGCTTTGGAGAACAGTCAAACAATTTTTATTTCTGTCAAGAAGTTAAATGTCTGTGTCTTCCTGTTCCCATTCTGCTTCTTCTTCTGATGAGCCTATCCAGACACAAAAATGTTCAAATATAAACAAAAAAAGAGACCTTTTTTCTTTCCTTTTAGAATTTGTTCTGTCTTTTTTTCTTTCATTTGAAATGCTTAGAAATGAAGAGGTTTTTGGACCCCATGTAGATCTTCACAATTTGAAGTTTGAGAATCTTTAGTGAAATGACAAACACTTGTTTCTGCTATTTGTTTTGTTTAAAAGTATTTTAGTCTATTTTTTTCTTTTGTCAGTTCATAGAGTCTATATTAGATTTTAGTATTGTCATAACAGTTTATTATGAAAAAAACAGATGTTTAAGAAATAGAGAGATCCTGTGGGTTTTGGGAAAAATAGAGAAAACACTAGGTTTCTCATGAGCTCAGTTCAATTCCCCACTCTCTTTTAAAGAAGTAACACTCTTGGCTCTGTTCCCAGCATGATCTGATCAAGGAATGAACATAGTTTTTGCCTAATGATCAGTTTCTGGACAGATGAACACATACTGTGCAAAAAGCAGAGAACGGGAAGTGTATTAATCTGCCTAGTCATGTAGAAAAGTCTTGTTTTCTAGGAGTGTGCTCATCAGTAATGGTCCAGTTTCTTCTACCATCAATCAGACGTACAAAAAATTCCATCAATTTAGCTAGAGCCAAGTGTACTGTAATGTTGATCGCCTAAGAAAAATGTTTGGGTTTCTCTCAAGGGGTTGACTTCTGAGCTCCTTCTTTGATAGGGGGATGTAGAGATTAGCAAGTGGGTGCTTAGTATTCTCCACAAGCACTAAGCCTGTGGTCGAGATGAACTTCATCTCATTAACACATTCTCCAGCAACACTGAGATGAGTGATTTTCTACCATAAAGATGTAACAGTTCTGTAACTCATCCGTAGGGTAAATAAAGAAAATAAATGTGCATCTTCCTTTGAATTACCGCGGCATCGCTCATAACCTTTATTTGAGATATCTCCCACTTGATATTGTGAGCAAATCTGCAGAATTAACAAGCCGTACTGTGTGATTATTAATTGTCCTTGTCCTTATATTTCTTATATGTAAAGGTAAATGTGATAAACACCACCAAAGAAAAAATTTTTTAATGAACAGGAAGAGATGTGATTCTATGATTCTGTGAAATAGTACAGTTTTATAGTAGTAGCTATTGTCTAATATCTGGTCAGGTATTAGAAATGCTACATCTTAAATAAACTACACTAACAGCACTAAATTTTACAGTGTGTTGGATTTTACTAATTCATCTGTAGTTCCGAAGTTCAGTCTTGTAATAATTTCCCAAGTTTTTAATTAAAAATTACTATTCTAAATATATAAATGCTATAACATATTTTTAGGTTGGTATTTTTTATGCTTGATCAAAAATCTTTATTATTATGGGTTTTGTTAATGTATATTTATTTTCCTCATCTGATACAGGTATCAAAACTGATGAGTTTATGAATAATAAGAAATCCCATGAAGTGCAGGTGATGTCAGAGCTGGTAGACAACATAGCAAATTATTGTGGTATAAAGCAGGTAAGAAAGCATTTCTTACCATACGTTACTATGTTCCTTCCAAATTATTCTCCTTATTGTATTCAAATACATCATTTTGATACTCTGTCACTGCTGTTCTTATTTTTCCTGTAAATAATTGTAGCTAAAGAAGAGCCTTTAGGGCCAAGCTGAAGGATGACTTTGTTTACAAATGTAACGTTCCAAAGGAGCCACTTCTCAGTGAGTCATAATCATTTTATGACTCATGAAAAATTTTAAGAAACTATAATCATTCTCTATATGTTGAGCAACTAAAAATTGTACTGCTCTTTGCTATGCATGGATGCTGCCTTGTTTATCAGTATTATATTGCTGGCAATTTACCATAAGCATCAGGAGGAGAGCAAAACTTCGTTCTTCTCCTTTTGTCAGACACACAAGAGCACCACGTAGAGAACAAAGCAGAAAACCTGAGAAACTTTGAAAGCTCCTCTTGTTCTGGCATAAGAGATTTAAATTGCTTCCTATTGTTTATTACTGATATTATTATTATTAATAATAATAATAATAATAAATATTATTAATAATTAATAATATTACTGTGATATTATTATCACCCTTATTTAACATGTATTAAGATCTATCAATTAGGAATGTAGTTATGACCTTTTTAGTTTGAAGAGAGACCAGATTAAGCGGAGATTTATGTAGCATGAAGTACATTTGGTAGAACATGTATGAGATCTAGACACCCAACATCATTATCATCCAGAGATTACTCTATGAATGGGCAGTTTCATATATCAAAAATCATATATCAGATGGCAAGTTCATCCTTGGATGGTGAAGAATTGCAAGATTCCTTTCCAAAATTTGATTGTAACTTGCCCTTTTTTTTTTTTTCCCCACATGTAGTTATGATTGCACGGTGCACTGGATCACTGTTGCATTAAAACCTTGTAGGTGTTTGTTATGGATCTGTTGACAAAACACAAGCATCACAACACTGCTTGACTTATTTGAGTACTGTATTTCATACTCGGTTAGACAAAAGCACACCACTAGCTTCTCTTCGGTTTGCATACATGTAATTTTTCTGTAAGCTTTTTCAATGTTAAACTTTCTGTTAGATTCCACATCTTGGAGATTTGTTGTGGTAAGACTAAATTTGTAAGTACCTGGGTGAACTGAGTTGGTTTAATCGTTTTGATCTCTATAATGGTAGTAACTGGCTAACGTAGCTTTAAACTGTAGATGACTAGTGGCTCTGGACACTGCGTTTAATTCTTTTCTACATCTGAGCTGTACTTGCTTTCTGTGCAAGTGGCTGTAAGTGTAAATGAAGACTAATTTCCTCCAGGCTAATACTCATTCCCACAATGATTTGTGGAGAAGAAACTATATTTGTTTAAAACCAAAGATTAATAAGGTATCCGCCCGGATTTTATGCTGAACACATTCCCTCTAAGCCTTTTTTTTTCCTAAGTAAACATGTCTGAGTTTAGTTTAAAATTAATATATCGGATGTGGGTAGGAGGGAAGAGACATCTGCAGTTGGGCAGGCCAAGTCTGTGTTACTGTGCTCTCTGGTATATCCGGTCCCCCATATTGTGCCTGTCCTTTGTCAGGGGAGAGTGCCAGCTGGCCCGCTTCATACCTGCACCAGGGGGGTTGCTGAAAATTAATGGTGTGGCCAGTTGTGTGCCGGGCGCAGGGTACGTGGCCGTGCTCTGCTCAGTTTAGTGGCAGATCTAACTGCAGCGGCCCAAGTTGCTGCTGCCGCCGCCATAGGCCAACAGGCAGGCCCGAAACTTGGATTCCGCTCTGAGCTGCTGAAGCTGAACTTTGATTAGGAATTTATTAAACAGACTGAGTTTAATTTAGATAATGTAAATGATGCGGTACTCTTAATAGGTTTGGGTCAGGCCTGTGGCATCCTTGGAAACAGAGATCAACACTCTGAATCCTGACCATCTGTTTTGTGAGGAACGACTGACGAAGGCAAAGTTTTAGGCAGTCTTCTCCTCACAACTGGGATTACCAAGTATATAGAGAGCTGCAATTAAGGCCGAATATTCCTGGATGAGACGCAATCAATTTGTGCGCATCTGCGATCGCTTACAGCACTGGAAGGCAATTTCTCCAGCAGCTTTTTCAAAGAGCCAGCCGCGGTGACTAGTGTGGGTGCCCTCAACAGCTGTAAATGGAGGTGCTCCGTAAAGCATAGGAATACAGTAGCAGCAGATTTGTGAAGGTAGTTTTTTCTCTCATTAGTATGTTCTTTGCCTTGCTTACCTTTTGCTTCAGGCAAGTATTAGTTGTGCAAGTGCTGAAGACTTTCATGTACTGAAAAAGCTGCAGAAGAGGGTAGTTTGTTTATAATTAAATACTAAATGTTCTCTGTGTTTGCTGGAAGGTGGTGTTTCATATAGCATTTTCATTTAGATTTTAAATAGTTCCTGTGAGATTCAGGACTGAAAGGAAAACCCATATTCAGAGAGTAAAAAAGTAGAGCCACCTTAATGACCTAACCTAAGTCCCGATGTAGCTGGTTACTAATAAAATCTCAAAGCAATCATTATTAAGTATCTGTCAATATGCTGCAATTTCATGCAGTGATTATGCACTTTTATCAGATGGCTTGGAGTATCTTTAGACAAAGGATTCTTTTCTGTTTAGTTTTCGACGAAATTGTAACATTTAATGAAAAATATTATTGCAGTATATCACTGAATATGAAATGCTGACTGCTCTATATTAACTTTTTTCCATTTTAGTCATACACTGTAACAAAATTTATTTGTGCAAAGTTACAAATCCCTAATATATGAAAAGAGCTTTCCAGCTAGATTTAAAAAAAAAATAAAAGCCTCTTTCTCAGTTATTAAAAAAGCTACTTCTTTTGTTTTGGTTACCTTTCAACTTAAGAAAATACAAGAATTGTAAAGTTTTAGGAGAGTTTTTTCCTTATTGATTTTTTTCTATCCTTCTCGCAAAACAAAATATATGTGGCATTTAATTAAAAAATCTAGAGCTATGAAAACACAACACATGTTTTACAACAGCACGTGTCCTCAGGGTGTTTCTTTCAAATATTACAGATCACTGACGGCTTGAAAAATGCCCTCCATTTCACCTCCATACCCATGGTATATGATGGGTGGTAGAGGATATTACTCTCTTGTGGTATTTTATAATGTAGTATAGTAAATAGTAAAATGAGAATAAAAGCAAAAATTTTATTACTACTGTAATCACTTCTAGGTTAATGATTTGAATTAAAACATTAAAGCAAACTAACTAAAGGCTTTTTTTCCAGTTGTTTACTGCCCCTTTTAAGCATTGTTCCTATTGTACAAGTGGAACTTTATTTTAGAAAGAAGTTCTTGATTAAACCCTGAAAAGAAGCCAGTGATGATGATTCTTTGCTTAAATACACATTTTTTTCCTTTAATGTATTTGTGAAAGTTTTCCTTGGAAATTGCAGCATGTGCAGCAAGAGTTGCAATGTGTAATGTAAGTATGATATAATTCTGCATTCAGTATCCATTCAGTTTGTGATTTGGTGCTGGGAAATGTTGGAATGCTTCTGGAAATGAAGTTCTTGATTGCGCTGTGCCAGAAACTTTGTTTAAACATAGTACCCAACTCACTGTGGACAAGACCTTTGGAGTTCATTATATCATGGAAATTTCATTTTAAAAGTTCATGCTTGGCAGATATTCTATGGATTGCTGATTACCTTTCCTTATGTAATCAAGGGAAGGTAAAGCAGGGATTAATTTAATGTGGTCTATTTGTTTAGCACAAGATCATTGCCTGCTTATTTTTAGCCAAATTTTCCTTTCGTTTTACTAGTCTCCCCGAGCTAATTTAACAATATATTACTGGTTTTTTTTTTAGTTGGAAACAACGAAAAAAAACCTTACCTAAACAGCAGTTTGTCTTTACAGCCACTAGAGGTCACACGTAGGAGTTAGGAAGAATTCAGTAGCTGATTCTTGTGTCCAAATGCTGCCTTTCACAGAAATAACTAAAACCTTGTAGAAATGGAGATGTGCATAACCTGTATAATAGTAATATCTGTTACATAAAATAGTGGGTAAAATTGTTCCTTGAACACTTTTCTTTCTTTCACTTTTAAATAATCTAGGAAAATAACGGTGATGTGACAAATGACATTTTTAAAAAGTATGCTTAGATTATATCAATTCTATTTCACTAAATCCATTCCTGTACCGATTTCATTCAAGAAATTTGAGGATTGTAACATACCTAGATGGCAAATATGCAGCAATATCACAATGACGAGTACAGATGAGGAAGCCACGTGCAGCCTGGGCAAACAATTTTTACCTAATAGTGTGTATTCTCCACTGTTTTATGTAGTCTTTAGTGACATTGCTTCAACTTTTTCTATTTCCATGGCTGTACAAATCTTTAACTTTCTTAGAATAAGGAATAATTATTTCTTTTTCATGTCCGTAAGAGTATTGCTTTACTGAGCATTCTTACCTGGTAAAAAACTATGCAGTTGAGAGTTAAGTTATGAGTTAAGATGGATCCTTGTAGTGTATGCTGCTATTTGGGCTTACAAATATCAGTGTAAGCTTTCTTAGGAACATGTGACAGATCAAGAACAAGACATAGATGATCTTGAATCAAGCACTTTCAGGAATATCTACAAAGAAGTCATAATATCTAGTCAATATAATTTTTGCTAGATACGTGAGCAGAAATGAACATTATTATTTTCTTCCCTTAGAGAAATGTCACTCTGCCTATTCTTGTAAAATATTTTGTCATATATTTATTACAAATGACACTAAAGCTGTGATTATGTTCTTAAAGGTCTCAGGTTACCCTTGTTTCTGCTACTAATCTGTATAGTGTTTTCCTTCCTGTGTTATATCAATCACTGAACTAGCACATGCTATCAACTGTGAGACAAACTCAACTGTCAGATAATTATCCCTTCTATTCACTCCTTCCTCCAGAACAGGCACTGGAAAGCACATGTGACATATGAACCCCTTTGTTTTATTAAAAACAGCCTCATGTTAATCAAAGCTATGTGGATCATTTTCAGAGAATGGAAAAGCTGTATAAATAAGCATTCTGACATAAAAGGGGGTGTCAGTATCACCTGTCTTTAGGTCACATCTGAAGGTAGGCACCAAATCTGAAGATGCTTCTTTCTGTACACCTAGTAATAATAGACTCCTCAGTAAGGGAGTTAGGTGCCTAAAGCTAAATGCTGTGAATGTTTTCTTTGCTAACTCTATATCCTGATCCAGTTTAGCAAGGGCAGGTGGTGATGGTGGTGGTTTATGGTTATTTTCTTTAGCGGAAGGAAGTTCAGTGTCAAAAAATATACTGAAAGTCTTTCCCAGAAGAGTCAGGACATATGCATTGTGTAAGCATTGCAGTGTCTGTTTTCTGGAGCAAATCAGTTAAGACTTCTGTGTTTTAAAGTCGGAAGGCGGACCAACAAAGCAAAAGAACTAAGTGTATTAGGAGGGGTGATACTGATAAGGTAGCTATTAAATCTATTAAATTTTTAGGGAATTATTTTGCATTTGATTGAAGTGTGTCTTTTTGCTCATTAATACAGCAAATTTTATTTTCTTTTTTCCTCCCATTATCTAGGTGATTGATATAGGTTCTGGAAAAGGCTACCTGAGTTCATTTTTGTCCATGCAATATAACTTAAAAGTTTATGGAATTGACTCCTCAAACACCAACACTAATGGTGCTCATGAAAGGAACAGAAAATTGAAGAAACACTGGAGAGCATATCAGAGTCGAGGAAAAGCAAACCTCAAAAGCCAGAGGTTGGAAATGGCAAATGACAGGCCAGTGGAAAGTGAAATTAAATGTAAAGCAATCAATGAAAAGCCTTTAAACAATGACAGCAGTCTTCAAAGTCAGGATCAAGTGACTATCCAAGATTTAGTTCCTTCTTGTGTTTTCACAGAAATAGCTACATCTGAAACCAGCAAACAAACTGAAGTTGATTTGGTGGCTCGGACACAGTCTGATGAGAGCAAACTTTCTGAAGAGGTTCTTGCTATTCTAAATATTCTGCCTGCTGATGCTGTAGATGTTTTTTCTTCATCTGAGTTTAACTGTGGGGAACTCTGTGAAGAGGAAAAGGCACAAAGAAAAATAGCATCTCTCAAGGCTAAAGCAAGCAAGTCGAGTGAATCAAACCTGTATTTTCCATTGACCTCTTGCATCACTGCAGAAACAGAACTCAGTGACATCATAACAGATCTGGAGGTTATTTTACTAATATTTGAAGTAGATTGTCCATTGTCTTTATATTGCTGTTTTCATATGTACATAATGTTTGCTGAGTGCATATAGAGTGCTGTCAGCAGTGTAAATTAATATTCTGGCCCAATAATGTTTTTCAGACAGTTAGCAAAAGTACGTCTAGCAGATACAGATTGTTTTTCTATTTTAATGTATGTGTTGGGATTACTTTGAATATGTAAAGCAGCCTTTAGAATGTATGGGGTAGATAATCATCAGCTGTGAAAGTTAACAGAATACATCGTAGCACATTCAGGTATTTTACAATTGTGATGATAGATAATATCTAATTATTATGAAAAGAGTTATATTTACCAGGTAGATGGATACATTAAGCACTGGAATTTTAATTTTCCTTAAATTTCTTACTTTTTAAGTTTCATATTTTTGTAATTTCAATTAAACTTTGAAGGCATAGGAGAATTTATTGTGTATAGTACTCGATATAAAGAGCTTGTAAAGAGCCCTATCTGCAAATAATGTTTTTATATTTTGACTCTTCAGAGTTACTTTAAGTTCATTTAGTAATTTACTGGCTGGTGGGGATTGTGTCTACGCAAACAAGCCCAAGCTCAGCTGCCCAAAGACAATGACAGAAGTCTTGCAGCTGTTTAGTTCCTGTGCCTGCGCTAACGTACATTGACTGGGTAGATACATTCAGTCTTTCATGGAAAGACAAAAACTTGTCTGTGTTCAGTAGTAACTGAACAACTATATTCAAGGGTGAGCATAGTATAGTTGAATATATAAAGTATATGAATATAGTAATCATCTCTGATTCAAGACCATAGGTTTATGCTGATGGCCCTATAACTTGAGCTAATAAATCCTACTGAGTGTCTGAGAACATGTGGAGCAAGCTCTGCCTGCAAAAGACACCCTGAGCAGCAGGGTTTGTTGATGAAGCATATGCCTTCACATATGCACAGTTGGATTTTGTATCCTCTTAGCATGTAATTCGTATGATGTAAAAGGTAGAATAAATCCTATATTACTACTTTTATTAAAAAAAAAAATACTGTCAGGAAAGGTAAAAGCTTCATTATGTTACAAAATAGTAATAACCAAATTGCACATTACGTGTGATGAATGTGTGTAATTAAAAAACTTTAAAATGTGCAATCATTTACATGTTTTAAAAGTATTTTGAGAATGTTTAGAAATAACATTTTTTTTTAGAAATAGTTTTACAATCATTTACAATTTTTTATTGCAACCATAAATATTTTTTTCTCAAATTTTCCTAAGCTCGGAACAAATGGGGAATGGGTAAAATTAGTATTTACTGATTTATACCCTAAGTTCTGAAATTAATCTGCTGATGAAATATGGGTATAGGAATGCATGTTTGTATATAGTCCAGGACTAATTTTGAGATATCAAATTTTGCTACACTTAAGCCAACAATCCAGAAAGTACTTTCAGTTACACCCAGGCAACCTCACTGAAGTCAGTGATGGTCCAAAAGTGTACGTGACACAGGCAGACTGCCCTCGTGTTGTTCAGAAGTTTTGAGCAATGTAACATGTTTACTCTATCTTGCATGTTGTAGCCATCTTCCCCTAGCTTTCTCCTGAAAGAATCTCTCTAACTTTTCCTGTCCTGGGGTTTAAATGCTTCCCTTGCAAGTGCACATCTTCCCTTAGCTTCCAAACTTTAGTCTTGTTCCACTATTTCTTGTGGAAATATTAATTGCATGTGGAAAATTTGTGGAATGGTGAGCTGAAGCTGCCTGATAGGAAAAAAGTCTTTACAAACTAAGCTGGACTGAAACTGAACTTTTGCCACCTAAAAATTTTGGATCTTAAGCAGAGGGCAAGCACAGAGAAGCAGCACAAAGTGGAAGGTGAGGAGGGGGACAGGAAGAATTTAAAAAACGAGGGAAAAGGGAGGTTGTACTGTTTCACACATACATATATGATATAATACAGATGTGGGAGAAAATCAGATCTAGAACAGCAAAAATAGATGTGCATATAAAGTCAGAATGATTATAGAAGGGTATCCCAGCTGAATGTCGCTGGGCTAGTTTGCTGGTGATAACCTTGCTAATAAATAAGGCTGCAATTCAAAGGAGCACCATGCTTACCGTGTAGATTCCAATTATAATGCTGGAAGGGAAATACCTTGTTCTAAATGGTGAGAAGAGGGGTAGTTTGGATGGAGAAATAGAGGGAACGGGGAAATAGAGGAAAAAGGAAAGCAGGGAATAGAATGGACAGAAGAACGGAGCGTCTGAAACTGAAGTTCTTACTTTGTGCTGTAGAAGAAAATGCCCATTGGTTGCTGAATAGTAGTAGGCACACTGCAAAACTGCGGCAGTACTACAGTTTTGGAAATATCAAAGCCTGCTTTTCACATTACATCTACATTTAGGAAGTGGTTTTGATTTCAGCAACTTAAAGTAGCAGAAATAGATAGGTCCAGCCAGATTTACAGCAGTAAATCTGAAGTGAGAAAAGGAAGCAGCAGAGGTAGTAATAACAGTAACAGGAAAGCTAGGAAAGACAAGAGAAAATGGCCTGTGTCCAGCCACCACATAGATGTTCCCTTCCATGCAGGTAATCCAGCTGCTATTCATAGTCTGGAACTTCTGCTTCCTCGTGACTGGTGAAGGTAGAGTGCAGGATGCGTAGTTCCTTACCTGAACAAAGCGATGAGCAGTCTGCCTCTCCACAGGGGCAATGCACCCTGTTTTCTTAGCACTGAAGAGCTTTTGTTATGCATTGAAAAATTCTAGAAGAGAACAGCAGGAGTCCTCATGGAGTTACGTATTTAAATCTTACAGCTCGATAACCATTTGCAGCATGTTTGGGTTTTGGAGTTTGTTGTTGTTGTTCGTGCTCTTTCAGTTGAAGAGGGAGACGCTTTATCGTTGCTTTTTTTTCTTTTTCTTCTTAGGACTGTATGATGGTGGGTCTACATACATGTGGCGATCTTGCTGCGAATACATTACGGATTTTTACTGCCAAGCCTGAAATCAAAGCAGTTTGCAGCGTAGGCTGCTGCTACCATCTGTTGTCAGAACAGTTTGAAAACCAAGAAGGTAATTCTTCTGAGCTTAACTTGTGGCTGCCAGTTTGCATGTTGAGAGTATTATACCTTTTAATTAATAACCTCCTTGTGTTTGTTCCTTTCCAGTGGCTTATTTAGTACTGGGTTTAATTACATTATGTGGGTCGTTCACTCCCGGATGCCCTGTAGCTTTTCTGTTATGCCAATATTCCTAATATTCTTACTGAAATTAGGGACATTACTGCAGAATGTTTTTCTGTGGTTATGAATACAGCTGGTTTTATTCGATTACTTCAGCTGTAAAATGTGGAGGCTTTTTTACTCCAATATGTTTTCTTCCTTTTGAAATATTTTGTACCACATTTTGCCCTTGGCTGTCTGCATGCAACATCCATTTACATTGAGTTGTACATCTACAACTATAAGCAGAATTAAGTCCTTGTAATGTACATTACTACTCCAAAAAACACTCATCTGAGCGCTGTGCTCTGGGGCATTGCCAGTTTAGAACATTATAGAACAGTATGTATATAACAGTTTTTCTTGTGGAGACAACCTGAAAATGATTTGGGGATTCACATTATAGGCAAATTTTCATTCAAATGTGTTTTTTTTTCATTTTTCATAGAAAGTTGGTATCTTTACTTGAAAGGTAAATTCTGCATACTGAAAAACATTGTGTTCTGAGGCCTTTCTGAGACAAGTGGTCTGTAGCTAAGCTGTCTAAAGGACCATCTGCCGAAGTTCTAGAACTTGATCATCATATCAATCAAATTTGAGAGAAGGGTGGATTGGCAAAAGTTTATTTCAGCTCTTTCAGGGAACTTCACGGACAGAAAGGCAGGTGGAACCCAGCTGCTTCTCTCTAACTGTTGGCTGCTCAGGCAGCTAAGGCACAGCTCCAGACTGACCACGACACATGCTAGCTTTTGCTTGCCTGAATGATCTTTTCATGTCTTTTCATGTTGTTTTTATCTTGCTCTGCAACAATTTTAAGAGTTTTTGCAGTGTATTAGTTTCAGTTATTTCACAATACTTCAGATCACCCCAAGACCAAAGAAAATACAATTGAAATTTCTAAATTACAGAAATGCGATTAGTAAAAAACACACAATTCCTTTTACATCAGAGTTTTAAAAAATTATGAACTTCTCAGGCGCTTGTCATTAACTATGTGTGTCTGAAACATTTGGTTGTTTCTTATTATTGCAAAGAGGACAAGACTTCATGTTCTAGCTGTAGGATTACTTTTTCCGGACCAGTGCATAAGGCTTTACTAAATTACTGTTACTCAGACACCACCAAAGGATCAGGTGTGATAACCTATTCTAAGTTCAAACAAACGGATGTACATGCACAGTGGTAAGAGATACTGCAGTTTCTTTGCAGTACGGAACTTAAGCCAAATTGCATGTTGGAATGTCTAGCTGATTGATTTTTCTCAGCTTGAAGGATAAAAATTATTCTTAAAGAAGAGCCTTTAGGCAGAATGAAAGGAAATTACAGTGTTCTTTTTTTTGGGAATAGAACACATAGGTAGTTCCAGTGATGCACAAAAAAAAATATTAATTTTTTTCACTATTACTATGAGGGTACATATTCTAAAATCTATAATGCTGGAAAAGTTATCTACTATAGTGCTTTTTCATAAATGCACAGTGGAGGGGTAAGAGCGTAAGGACCCACAATATCTAAGAGCTAAAATTTCTTCAAAGGGAAAATGGGGAGGAATTAGGACTATAGCATGTGTCTACACTTCCTGTGCAAGGATTTCAAACCGACAAAGCATTCTAGAGGATGCTAGAGGACTCTGTAACTAAGCAGATGGTATGAATCCAATAATTCACTTGTACAAGAAGTAAACTAACTCCTCTTGCAGCTGTCTGAGGCAAGTGAATTTTGGTACTGCTTCCAAAATGGACCAAATCATAGAATTGTGATGAAATAACTTGACTTGGAAGTGGCTTCTGGAGGTCGTCTGGTCCAGACCACAGTGCAAGGCAGGGCCAACTTAGATCAGGTTATTCAGGGCCTTGTCCAGTCATGTTTTGAAGGGCAGTGATTCAGCAGCCCATTCCAATGTTTGCCATCACCATGAATTTTTTTTTCCTTGTATCTATTCAGAATTTGCAGCGCTCATGTGTTATCTATTGTCTTTTCATTGTGCACCTCCAAGAACAGTCCGGCTTAATCTTTTCTGTTCCCTTTCCTTTAGGTAGTCGAAGACAGCAGTTAGATCCCTCCTTGACCTTCTCTGCAACCCTGTAGTCCTCTTGCCACCACTGAACTCATTCCAGTAAGTCAGTGTGGTGGGCTGGAGAGCCCAAAGGAGGACTCTAGATACTCTCACTCTCACAAGTGCTGAAGAGGGGGAATAATCAAATCCCTTAACCTGCAGGCTTCACTGTTACGCTTCAGAGTCCTATCAATTTTCTACCCACCTTAGAGTCCACCTGTCTTGAGCCATATCTTTTCAATTTATCTGTAAAGATACTAAGGAAACCTTGCTGAAAGCCTCACCAAAGTCAAGGTAAACTATGACTATGCTCTTCCCTAGTTCATGGAGTCAGTCACTGTATCACAGAAGGCGATAAAGTTTGTCAGTCCCTGGTAAATTCCTGCCAGCTGTTCTGTCTCCTTCTTGTTCTTCATGGGCCTGGGCATGATTTCCAGGAAAGTTTGCTCTGTAAGCTTATTGAGAACTGAGGTTAGACTGAAGATGGATGTGAATATAATCCCTACTGTGGGTAGTCCTTCATTTGCCCAGGCTCTGACACTAAGCTCAGGGAAGCTACTGGCTAATCTAAGCATCAACCAGAAATTGTAGAGACCTTTAGAAACCTTATGTGGAGAGCCTAGTTTGAGTATTAGGCTGCAGACTTAGAGCTAGATCTCTGCCTCGACGGATAGAAGATCTTCTTAAGAAGCAGAAAGAATTGGGCAGAATTTGCTGCAACACAGGAAATCACTTATTTGAAATCAGTCCAGTAAGCAAGGGCTTACTTGCGAAGACACAGTGGGAAGTTCTGTTATAAAGCATTTTATACTTATCTTGACTTAGTAGCTTTGAGGCTTCAAAATTTTTAAAAATGTGTTTTAAAAATGTCATTGCTCTGTTTTCTATTTCTATTTCTATTTCTACTTTATATCTATAGTTATAGTTATATTATTTTTTGTCCAGTTTAAAAGCTTTTTTATTTTCTTGAGGTGAGCAGCCTTAAAGGACAAGGTTGAGGCAAGTCCACTTCAAAGCTCTTTCCCCCAAAGTAGCACATTTTCCATCTTTGCTGCTTCTTTAATGTGAATGCAGATGGTTGTTCTCATAAGCCTATTTGAAGCAGATGTGCCAGCTCACAAAAAAGCTACTATGGACTTACAGTTGCCATAACTTGAGATGACTGGACTGTATGTTTTTGGCAGTTAAGTTTTATTTAATACCAGATCAATCTTGTTTGAGGCCAGTGAAAAATTGCTTTTTCACTTCATATTAACTGAAATTAACTGATATTAATGGGAAGAAATTTTACCTGTTTTGATGCCTAACATAGTGTTTATAAGTCTGAGGTGGTGAGTTGACAAAATATCAACAAAATGTTACTATGCTATTTTTGGCAGGCTATTGAATCACCTTGGTTACTGCAAGTTTGGGGTTTTTTGTCTCTGAGGAGCTGACTACAGGGAATAATGCCTTACATTTCTCATATATCCTAAAAATAGTAAAGATATTGCAAGATTGCCTGATTCAGTTTGCCATTGGACCTGCTGTGAATACTTTGGGAGCATTTCTGATGAAAGTAGGTGCCAGTAGTCACAGTCTTGAATCAGTGTACAGTGGCCTCCTATGTGTCTATAAATAAGCTAAATTCATCTGGAAATTTTTGTAATGGGACCACATTTCCAACTATGCTAGGAATAATTCTGAACTCTTAAGATCATGAAAGCCTTTGTTTTGATTTATTAGTAACTACAACAACTAAGAGGTGCTGTGTAATGTCAAATTTCAATTCAATTAAAAAAAGTTGAAGCCAGTGTCTTTTAACACCTGTCTTTAAATTTCACTGCTGTTATAAGCAGTATCAAATACTAAATTTCAGTTAATAAGGAACATTATGACAGCTCTTGGAAAATTCTGAGTAGTTTTACTTCATCTTTCTCTAAGGAAAATTGGCTGTTTATACAGAGATTCTTCTATGGATAAAATGCACTTAGCCATTAGTCTAATTGATTCCTTTGGGGTTTTTCTTCACTGTTACTGCATCAGATAGTCAATTACATCAGAGTAGTAAGGATTTTACTATTTATTAGAGACTTTTTACATAAACCAGTTTACATAGTGAGCCATTATGTCAGTTTTTCTGGAAAAAATCAGTTTGCTAATGATTTTTAGGTTAAACCAAACTCTGTGTCCCTGTTCAGGAGCTATTCTTAGGGTTTTTGGAAGCTGTTTTATCTTACATTCAGCTAATACATTTCTGGGGCAATGTACCAGCTGGACTATGATTATCCCTTAACAGACAGTAACTGCAAATTTAAGATATTTTCAGAAAGACTTGACTTGCCTTGAAAAGGAATTGATGTGTTCCTGTATTCTGATTCTCTTCCTTCCATCCTCTGTATCACTGTTGGGGTTTAGCCCCAGCCGGCAACCAAGCCCCATGCAGCCGCTCGCTCAGGAAGAGTAAAAGTGAGGAAAGTCATGGTTTGAGATAAAGACAGTTTAATAGGTAAAGCAAAAGCCGCGCACGCAAGCAAAGCAAAACAAGGAATTCATTCACCACTCCCCATGGGCAGGCGGGTGTTCAGCCATCTCCAGGGAAGTAGGGCTGCATCATGTGTAATGGTTTCTTGGGAAGACAGACGCCATCACTCCGAATGTCCCTCCACCCCTTCCTCCTTCTTCGTCTCAGCTTTATATACTGAGCATGATGTCATATGGTATGGAATATCTCTTTGCTCAGCCTGGATCAGCTGTCCTGGCTGTGTCCCCTCCCAGCTTCCCATGCACCCCCAACCTTCTCAGTGGCAGGCCAG